CGTCCCCGCCCCGCCGCCGTAACCCGATGCCCGCGGTTCGCGGCCCGGACGGCGTCGGCTCCGGAGGCGCTCGCGCCCCGCAGTGCGGCTTCGCGTTCGGGACGCGGGGATGGCGCAGAGGCCCGCGGAGGCCACCGGGCTCTACCGGGCGGTGCTGCTCCGGTCGGGTAAGAGCGCGTGCCCGCGGCGGGCTGTGTGCCCGCGGCGTTTGCGCCCTTTCCCTCCTCGCTCTTTCCCCAACCCTTAGGTGGGGGCCTCCTGGGGTCCCGCCGCGCGTCCCTCGCTCAGGTAGGCGATGTGCCAGGAAGCGCGCGGGGCGCTTACTTTCTGGGGAGCTGGACGGCGGGCGCTTGGGCTCGTGCCTTTTGCGCGCAGCGAGCGCGATTGCTTTACAACTCCGAGCAACAGGAGGTTTTTATTCAGAGAAAAGCAAATAAACCAAGTTCCGCGCGGTGTAGTCTGGAAACGCGGGGCTGGAGCGCGCCCTCTGCGTGTTCTGGGGAGTTTCCTTTTGGGACTCAACGTGGAGAGAGGTCTGGGAAGGTGGACCTCGGCCTCGGGCTGGATCCCCGCCCTTCCGAGCTCGGTGTGTGTGCGGTGGGATCCGGCCTCCCTGGCCAGCCGCAGACTCTCCTCCCGGCCCGGCCTGCAGACCCCGAAGCCCACGACGCGCGTCTGCAGCGTGGGTGCCGGCCGGGTGCCCTGCGAGCCGCGCATCGGGACTCGAGACTCGGTCCCCCGGACCAGACCCGACCCGACCCACCCCGGAGACGCTACTACCCGGTTACCGGTTGGGAAAGTTGGAACAAGGGTTCTCTAAAGAACCCCGAGATTTCAGAATGGGTGGCGCCAGCCTGGGGCTGGGTCTCAACTCTGGCTGAGCCGGGCGGGCTGGAAGGGAGGAGCCTGGTCATCCGCAGAAGTTATTTTCAAATCTCAGCGCGGTTTCCCGCATAAGCGCGCCGCCTCGGCAGCGCCCACCCAGGTGCCCCCTTCTCACATACCTGCAGGTCTCAGGTTCCCTAAAACCTGCATCCAAGAGCTAGGCGCTTCGCTTTTAGCCTCCAGCCCATCCTGCCTAGCAAACATGTAGCGGCCCACGGCCGGCGGCATGTTCCCTGCTCCTGCACAAAGGGGCAGTGGCCTTTGGGAAGGGGTGGAGGGCCTCACCGACCGGGCACCCTGTGCATTGTCCGTGTGCATTGTCCGGCAGATTGCCCAACTCTGCAGGGACACTTCGAATTGTCGCCCCACTGACTAGCGGAAGGAACAGACAGCCGGAAGGCTTGGACAACTTGCCCGTGGCCTGCGGAGTGACCTATCCCACTCTCCTGAGGAGCAGAAAATCCACTCAACCCTAGGTCCATCTATACCAAAGTCTAATCGATGCCACATGATTCTCTGCCCCTTGCTGCGCCACTCCACCTGCCAAATGCTGCACACCTGTCATTTCACCACCTCCCTTCATTATTTATTCATCCAACTAATGCTTAGTGACCTCTGTCACGTGCGAGGTCCTCAGCGAGGCACAGGTCCACACTGATTAGCAAAGTGGGTGCATCGCCGGGAAGGGGTGGGCAGGTGACCTTAAAGTCTATAAGAATTAGGAGGAATCTGGGACTCAGTAAAAAGACTTGACTGAAGTCCCTCAGCCCGTCGAAGGGAGGCCGGGCTCCTGCCTAGTGTGCCTCTGGACCACTCCCCCGGCCATCTTGAAGGACAAGCAAACAATGAGACTGGAACTGAGTCGGCCAGCCACTGGGCCATTTGCGGGTGAGGTGAGCGCCTCCTCACCCCTCGGAAGGCCCCAAAGGGGAGCATAAAGGCACAGACCTTCATCAATAGCAGCCTTGTGTTATCCTACGTTCTTTCAAAGTGTCCTAATACTCAAATAACAAATGCTTCCAAAGACATTGGGAGAAATTGAGAATAAAATGGGGGAAGCCCAACACCTCTCCCCCTTCACCACAAGCAGCTGTTGGGAACATTTGGAGGCCTCGGTGGCCCTTCTGATCCTTGTTCTGCAGGTTGTGTGTGGTTTTTTTGTTTTGTTTTGGATACAGGCTCTCAATACCAGCTCAGACTCATAGTGATCCTCCTGTCTCAGCCTCCTCAGTGCTGGGATTCCAAGCGTATGCACAATGTATCCAGAAAGCATGCAGTACCGGGGATTGAACTCGGGACTTTGCGCTTGCCAGGCAACTGGGATTGAACTTGGGTCCTTGCGCTTGGCAGGCAGGCACTTATGCCACTGAGTTATCTCCCCAGCCCTGTGTGTGTTTTACACTCTTGGAATTGTGCCAGTTGTACTCCAGTCCTTAATCCCATTTTTTCACTTGAGTGGAAATCTCTAATGCTCTTATATCAGTGACCAAGGCAGTAGCTGCCTGTGGCACAGGCAGGCGCGGTGTGGAGGGCTTCCCATACCCTATGGCTCTGCTCTGCTTCAGACACGGAGAAACAGGACACCACAGCAGGGGTCAGGCCTGGCATCGGGGTTGGCACTAGAGTCGTGCTTTGAAGTCCTTCGATGGACGACGCCCTCTGTGGAAACACAGCCTCAGCCATGCCTGAAAAGCTGTGTGGTCCTGTGGTAAGTGTACCTGAAGAGGCAGGTCACCTGCACCTTACCTGGAGCCCAGGCCAGGTCCCCAGTGAGGAGAAGCAATCTCTCCCTGCGGCAGGGACACAGGCATCACTCCCCAGCTGTCCGAACCTCTCACTGAGCCAGGCGCTAGGCACAGCCTACACCCCATGGCAGCAGAGCTGCCAGATCAACACCGGGCACCCGGTGAGGCCTGAACTCTAGACAAACAGCTAGTAACATTCTAGTGTAGACACCTTCCAAATAGTACAGTGAGTATATTTGTGCTGCAAATTATTCATCGCTTATCTGAATTTAAATTTAACTGGGAGTGCTGCATTTTTATTTGCTATGTCTGGTAACCACACTGCTAGGAATCCTGGAAGTTTGCTTGGCTTGACAAGCTATGGTCTGCCCACGGTCTCTTCTACACACACACACACACACACACACACACACACACACACAC